AGATCTAGATTTAGGTTAAAAGAAAAAAAAAAAAGTTGAGACTAAAATAGACTGAGTTATTAAAGCCCATTATGAGTTGAACCAATAGACTATAAACCCAACAAAATTGACATCGATAAAATGTCAGAATGTTCTTAATAGAATATATGCAAAATTTTACGATCAGTGAGATAAGTCAATAAGTGTGGGTTTTCATTACAAAACTATATACTGATGCTTGGTTTTTCGGAGCACCTATAGAGTTGGTTTCAATCACTTAAATTTTAAGATACCCTAACGAGGTTCTTCATTATTGTACAAGGTTTTAGATAGAGTCAGATCATCAACTGTATTTCTTCTTGAATTGCAGATTGATTTGATAGCAATTGCTTCATTGTAGCCACTATTCTCCTGCTCGATGCTATTATAAACCTGTGAGCATACAGCAGATCTGATAAGGAACGATGCAAAGTCCACACAAGAAAGCTAGAGAAAGCTCCACAAAAGAAGTTGCTGGCATCGTTGGTAACATTGCAACCTGCACCTATCACTTGCATCTCTAACCAAAAACCTCGTACCACCCTTCCCCTTTAATCATGAGGGTCGTCGTCGTCGTTGAGCTTTCTACCAACCCATAATAGGTCTTTCCTTTCTACAGCCATAACAGAAACCCCTCTGAACTCATCTTATCAATACAGTCAAAATGCGATGATTAATTTATATATAATTGAAACCTCGCTGGACTATATAATTCTTTGGAAGTTTGCACTTGAAACCAAATATTAATTGGGTTTAGATGGTTTATGCTAAATATAATAGAGTTATTAACTCTTGGTCTACTCAGGTCCAGCCAAATATTAATTGGTATTGGAGATTATTTCATAAGGCTTTAGAACATTTTACAGGCGGATTTACTCAGTTAATTGGATATAGTAAGTCTATGGGAGTGTTTTCTACCAATTAATTGTTTGATATACCTTTTACTTGAAGCCTACATTTCTTAATATTAACACTTATTCTTAGCATTACCTTAGTTCAAAGTTAATTCAAATTGGTACTTGGAATAAAAATAAAATCATTGATATGTATGGTGCTATTATGTATGAGCAAATATCTAAGATTGGTATTCCTAAAATACCCTATAATGATTAAGTGGATTTGGAAACTTGACATTAATAAATGATCGACACTAGAACAACATATTATTTTTCTTAGAGGCCAGTATGCCTTAACCACTTCTGTGTGCTTTGATTAGAATAGTTTGTAGAAAATTCTAATTTTATCTCGAGTGCATTTATTTGGTTGGAAACTGTTCTTGAGACATCTCCCTGCTACATGGAGGCTGAATAGAGTTGGGATTGTCCAACCACATGAATGTTTCTTGTGTGATCTTGAATGGGATTCCCAAGATCATCTCTTCAAAAACTATATGTTTGCTGATAACATGTGGGTTATTTATGAACAAATACTACATTTGAAATTTATATATAAAGATCAACGGTATACTTGTCAATAGATAAGAGAGGGAGATAATCTAACTAGCAAGATATTATGATCCTTAGAGCCTTAGTCATGTATTCTTTTTGGTTTATTTGGAAGGCTTATGATGGTTTTTTTTTTAAATCCTCCTATGAATATAATATAAGGGTATCATTTGGTTTTTAAGTAATGGTACCTATTTATAGGTAGAGGAGGTTTATTTAAGGAATTATCAAATTGTAGTAAGATGAATTCAACCTAGTGATGGTTAGATTAAATTTATACTGATGGATCATTTGTACATGAAACTAAAGAAGGGGGAGTTGGATTTCTTCTTAGGAATGCTAAGGCTACTTATTTGCTTAAAGGGTACAACTTTGTAGAGGATGAATAATGCTGCTACATTGAACTGAAGGATGAAGAAGAATATTCAACTAAAGAGGGTATCCAATGTGTGTCATTGAAAGGAATCACTAAACTAATAATTGAGACAGATGATGCACTAGTGGTTGATATTTTAGAGAGAAAAACCAAACCTCCATGGAAGCTGATCAACATCACTAGGGATGTTTTGCACTTAATACAAAATTTATTTGAACATTCAATTATACATGAATTTAGAGAAGAAAATAAGTATGCCGACTAGTTAGCTAATTTTGCTAGATCTAATAAAGTTATTGGTCTTTAGAAGTCAGCAGTCACCAAATGTCCTATGCTCTCTTTCAACTAGGATATTGATTGAAATAAAATTTTAAGCTAATAGAAGTATTTTTTTCTTTTTTGAAAAAAAAAAAGCAATGTCACTGAGGTGATGGAAGCCGAATGGTGCTTGTTTTATTTCTCCATATGAATTGTTGAGTTAAACATTTTTTTTTCTAGGTGTCGTATAGTAAAAATATTATTAAGTATTTTGCCTACCTAATTATTGCTAACATAGACTTAAAAACTTGATCAACTTGAAGGTACTATATTAAGGACATAAAAAAATACTTGAGGACAACAACTTCATATGTCTTCAAACATGTTTAATGTTTGATTGAAAAAGTAGTATTGACGCTTCTCTTTTAACTACTAACGTTACTTATGGGTCCTCATTTTCTTTATGTTTGATTGAAGTATAGGGAGGAGAGGTCATTTCATGCCACTCCAACACCTCTACATTATCAAAGAGGCTCGGATAACATTAATATCTCTATATTGATAGAGTTCATCATGACATTATTCAAAACTACATGGGGATGCATTGCTTGTTAAAAAGAGATCTTGGTTTCCTCAATCCTAAATTTAGTATAATAATAGACAAAAATAACATATATATTATCATTAGGCTAGACTAGATTTAAATACCCTATTGAAATTAAGGATTTTTGATCGATTTCTTTGTGTAATATCAACTATATCATATTAGCTAAAGTTTTGGCTAATAGGCTTAAGGGACCTCTCTACTCCCTCATTTCTAATGAACAATCAACTTTTCTTTCTAGTAAATATATTCATGATAATATTTTGGTTTCTCAAGAGTCTTTCACTCTCTCTATATTTCTAAAGGCAAGAATTCTTATATTCATATTGAGATTGACTTGAAGAAGACTTATAATAAGTTATCCTACAATACGATTCTTCAAATGTTACATTTGATCAATTTTTCTCCTAGTTTAATCATCGGTGAAACCTTGTATTTCTTCCTTTACTTTGCATGCTTATGGTAGCTCATTACTTCTTTCTAAAGTTAAAGAGATAACTACTAAAGAGATCGATCCCCTCTCACCCTACTTATACATCCTCCTCGTGGTTCAGCTGTTATCATTTCTTCTCCATGATGCTTGTCATAAGAAAAATATTACTCCTTTCTATTTTATTTTATTTTTTAAATTTATCATTTGATATATGCAGATATCTTGTTTTGTTTTAAGTTTAATAGGAAATCTTGCCTCGCTAATCTTGAGGTTTTGAAGTCTTATAAGATGTTGATTAATCAACATGTTAATGTGTCTAAGTCTAAGATATTATTCCCTCATAGTGCTGGTAAAGGTTCAAGAAAGGATGCTTGCAATTTGTTTAATATCAACTTGCTTCTAGATGGATTCCAATATCATCCATGAACACTCTATAGTTGAACCTGTGCTTAACAAACTCAATCTTTGGCATGGTTGGTTCCCTATTATCCCACGCTAGAAGTATTGTCTTCTTTTCATGTCGTGCTTCTTCGTTCTTCAAGTACGACTTAAATGCCTAATACTATTCTTAGTAGCATTGTTAGGTCCATCAGAAATTTTTTTTGCTAATAGTGGTCATTTTAGGTGTCTACATTTGCTTTCATGCAACACTGTTACTCTCCCTAAGTGTATCGGGGGTCTCAGGGTTAAGAATTTATACAGTATAAAATTTGCTCTACAAACTTAAATGGTTACTCTTTACATTTCTAATGTCGATGTCATTTGGGATAATGTTGCCAAGGTCAAATATGAGCTTATTTCTTCTAAACAAAGCTAGAGTTGACATTTATTTCTTCTTGCTCTTGAACATTTGAGAGAGAGTTTTCTAAATTTATGGGCAATGGTACTACAATTAATGTTTCAAAGGATACTTGGATTTTGGATATTCTAATTGCTTTGAAGCCCACATTTTGTAATGTACAAGTTTTGGATGCTTCTCTTGTGGTTTCTGATCTTCTTGTAAATTGACAATGGAATATTGATTTATTAGATTCTTTATTTGGCCCTATTTAAATGCCCGGATTTGTGATATGAAAATTTATCTGCAGTCACATGATGATTTTTCGTTTTGGAATCCTCATAATATTTCTTGTTGTTGAATCCTGCTTTTTCTATTATTTCGTTGTTGAATCCATCAGTCATTGTTTGCTTAATCTCCCTTCTCTGTTTCTTTGTGGCATCTTTTTGAATCCAAATTTGAGATAAAAACTTTTTCTTGTTTGTAGACTGGGTGAAATGATGAAATGGGTTTTGATTGTTATTGGCCTTTGGTGGATCTAACATGCGATGAGTGATATTAATTTTAATCAACTTGTCTCCTCTCCTAGTAATGATTTTACGCAGAACAGTTACAGCAATCCTAGCTAATGACGACGACAAATTATCTTATTATAATCTACATGAAAGAAGAGCCATTGTGAGATGCAAGATCTTCTCAGACAACATATAACACTGCAGTTTGTATTACCATAAAGCTTTCCCAACATTGATACAAAAGAAAACAGATATAATGCATACAGATCAATGCAAGTAAACGATGACTAATGATTCAACACTGGCAATATCCATCATCGTCCAACTACACAATTCATATATTCACCAGTTCTACCTCGCTTTACATACACGCTAACCAAGAGAAGACACCTGCAAGCATTTCCATGATTACTCCTTGGCATGAAATTTCTCTTTCATGTTCACCAAATCATTGCAGCTCAAGCTAGCTTAATGGCTACTAATACAAGCTGGACGATCCACCAGCAAGAGAAGAAACAAATTTGAACACACACTCCGGTCACAACAACATTAATTGAATACACGAAGAAAGGATAAAGAAAAATAAATTATTATGATTTGCCCATAAGATTACTGCACTACATGTCAAAGCAAAGTGAACACAATCCGGACACAATTATAGAGCTATAATACCATAACTTCTAATTGAGCAAACAGACACCATACCCAGATTAATCAAAGCATAACCTACTTTCCTACCAGCAAATCTACATCACGCTAACTCCTAACAAGGTATACACATAGGTTACTGAACTATAAAGAGAGGAGAGAAATGTAATTAACTGTAGTATAATTACCATGGAAACTCCAAGTCCACATCTTCCTTTTGAAAAAATTGAGGAAGATGCTTGAGTCGGAGAAGCCAATAGAAGAGACAGCAATCTAAATTTGAGCCCTCTAAAGCACCCCAACCGCAGAATCCCTTCTTGTTCTTTGCCAAAGCTGAAAATTTTCCGACCAAAATCACTTTTTTCCGGTCAAACGCACTTTTTTGGCCACCAAAACTGCAATTTTCCATCCCTACGCCCACTTGCCGTCACGGCGAATTACCATGCCAGGCCGCGTGATGGAAGGGCCTTCACGGCCTCGTCACCCTTGACCACAGCCTTCTTCAAGAAAAAAGTAGGAATAGGAAGGGAACTGGGGGAGGGGGATGCTAAGAACGCCGGCCCCGCGTACGCTGACTCCAGAACGGCGAGCCCAACCTTTCTCGGGAGGATCTCCGGCTCCGGCCTCAGATTCGCGGTTCCAAGGGCCGAATCATCACCCTCCAGACTCAGATCTGCGGCCACGGACGCTCGTGGCTTCAGTTCCTCGCCACGTTTCATGATCCGCACCTCTTCCATCACGAGGGCCCTCCGCTGGCAGGTCTCCCCGTCGGACTGGGCACCATCCTTCGGCGGAGACGGCGATCTTAAGCCGTCACGCGGTTGGTTGGCGGAGCAGCTGGGTTTAAACGCCTGCAAGGGCGGCAAGCGAGCAGGCGGGGGGGGGCCCTGCCGGCCGGCCTTTCTAGGTGGAGGAGGAGGAGGAGGATGGGCGGGACGCGAGGAGTGGGGCGGCGGTGGGGATTTCTTCCGGTGCGGCTTCGCCGGCGGCGGACGACGGAATCCGTAGGCATCGAGGTGGAGGCGGTTTTTGAGGCAATCGTGTGATCGGAGCACCGCCATGGCCATTAGAGTAAGATAAACTACCACAAATATGTGAGAGAGAGAGAGAGAGAGGGAAAAGAGCTGTAGAACAAAGATGCAATGCTGAGTAGGCGATTAAGCTTGCGTTTATAGAGACCGCGGTTATGCGGACATTGGCCCCCGACCGACTTAACTCAAATAGGGCATATCTGGAGCGTCCATCAGCCACGAACCGATATGATTCTCTCGTTTTATAAATCGTACGGTAGTAAAGTTTGTCGCATATAAATCCAAGTGAGCACCTTCGAATAGATCTCTCTAGAAACCTACTTATGGACGGAATCATCGCCGCCATCACCAATCTTCCTTGAAATTACATCAAGCCCACGATTCTTTGCGTGCGGCTGTGATCCTTTTAAGGTTCTCGATCTCCGATCGCACGGACGTTAATGCTGTACGAGCCAAGGAGACGGCAAGGGTATTATTGTAGAATAATCAAACGAGAGGAGCAATTGTGACGGGACACGTATCGGCTTCCGTGGTCACGCGTGGCGTGCCGATTCGACCGACAGCTGCTGGGTCGGTGGCCTACCCCACGAGGACGGTGACGCTAAACCGCCATCGTCTTCTGGGGCCCACCGAGGATTGACGGTGGGTGGGTCGGCTCGCGATGTGGATGTCAAATTTTTAATCATAATTATAATTTTGATAAAAGTGAAGATAATTGGTAAAAATAATTTCCAAGTTAGAAGTGATATTTATTTTAAACGTATATCAGTTTCGTAAAAGATTAGATAGGTAATACTTAGTTTTCTATGAGAGAAATATTATTAAATCATGTTTAATAAGATCAATTAGAAAGTTTGATTACCATAAATCTAATCAATTATCAAGTTGTAAACTCAGTTTAATGATTCAATTATTCTATTAGCTTGAACAACACACAATCATAGAACGATGCAAATGCTTTCCTTTGGCATTAAAAGATTGATCCCATGTCGAATCGAATTCAACAAATCTTCGACCTTTTTAGGTTGGGAAGCGTGGCTCATTATTATTTCGAATTATCACAAGTGAGCCAGGCGAATGTGTAGACAGTGTATATGTTGTAGTTAGAACTAGTTATGAGATTAGAGGTGATTTGTGCATAGGTTATTTGTTCTGAAAGAGACACACACCTTCGATCTGCTAATAGATAAATGAGTGGCTTCACACAATCTATAAGTGAATATGCTTAGCTCATCAGAATCTTGTCTGCCACAGAACCTTACAGTAATAAGCAAGAAAGCATGGAAACTTTCTACTGTTCCGATAGCAGCAAAACAAATAACATATGGCAATGAAAAGATTGCCACAAATATATATGGTTGTCGTACTACAACAAATAGCCCCACGCAAACTAGCGTGGCTTCGGTGACACCCACCGTCAGCAAAACCTACGTCTGGATCTGCTGAATTATTTGAACCATTTGCCTAAGAAACAAGACCACAACAGCGATGCTACGGTCTTCAACTCTTCCTGCGCAGGTACAGCGCTTATTTCTCCCTTTAGAGAGTGTAGTGCTGCTGCATGTTCTCGATGTTCAATCCCTTGAGCTTCACGACGGACTCGACATGACCCTTGAGCGTGTGCAGCTCCCTAAGCCTGAAGCAAAATATTGCACCCCCATGCGTTAATGTCGTGTCGCTGTTCCTGATAGAATACTCGTCTATGAAGAGTTCGGTAGAGCGGAGTTTGTTGCTTTTACCTGGCGACCTCGGCGCGCCTCTTGGCCTGTTCAGCGATCTCCGACAACTCCCTGTAGCTCTTTTCGTCGAACAGACCGGTGGTCTCTGGGGGATGCAGACCATGCAGGGTGCGTTGGGCCAGCGCCCATTGTGCTTCCCTCTCGCCCTTCCCGTAATCCTTCTTCGAGGTGAAGGCCGTCTGCGTTATGAATGAACGATGAAGTCCCTCAGCTCATTTTGGTGTCAGTAGGAGAGAGAGAGAGAGAGAGAGAGAGAGAAGAGAAGACATAGTTTACCTTGTTCTGGAGAAGGTTGTCCCAGGCCCTGCCGCTCAGACCATAGCGAATGATGAACTTGAGAATGTCGAGAGGGAAGTAGGTGATGAGGCTGTAGAGCCAAATGACCCCAGCCCACCCCCATCCGATGCCATTCATCCTCGCAAAGCCCCATGTGGCGTACACAGCGATGAGAGTGGCCACCTACGAGAAGGTGAGGATGGTCATTAGCCTGTGCTAATCCTCAGCAATTAATACTTCCTCGTGGGAGGAGAACCAGAAACGAACGAAGAAAGCGCTCGGTCTCACGAGTGAGAGATGCGAAGCTTACCAGCTGGGCGGCGACGAAGGCAGAGACCAGCAGGAGACCAGGGCGCTCGATGAAGGACCAGCTCCTGGACCGGGTGACAAAGATGAGTGCCTGACTGACGATGCTCACTTGGAGGTACAGTGCTGCGGTTAGCTCATCGTTGTTGCCATTGATTGACCTCACGCCGAACGCTTTCTGCATCGTTAAGATATGCAGATCAATAATGGCCTCTAGATTTGCCTATCAGTTGCCTTAAGCTTCATGTTGTGATCAGTGGTATTAGGAGCACGGTTACTCACAGGGAAGAAATCAGTGTCGTGAACAAGGAAGAAGAAGACCACAGTCATGATTGCAAGGTAAGCACCGAGAACGACCCCGGTCGAGAAGATCTCCTGGAGCTTCCATGAGTCTGGCACAGGGGAGGGCTTAACCCGGTCCTTGGAGATGGTCATGATGGTACCATCATTGAGGATGGCAATGATGAGGACCATGAACGGGGAGAAGTCGAAGCGCCAAATGAGGGCGACGAGCATGAAGCCGAGCACGATACGGATGGTGATGGAGACGGCGTAGATCGTGTAGTTCTTCATGCGCTGGAAGATGGCGCGGCTTGTGAGCACCGCACTCACGATCACGCTCAGACCAGGCTCTGTGAGCACGATGTCTGAAGCGCCACGGGCGGCATCGGTTGCATCTGCCACGGCAATACCAATGTCTGCCTTCTTCAGAGCTGGTGCATCATTGACACCATCTCCTGTCATCCCACAGATGTGCTCCTTCTCCTGCAACCTCCTCACTATCTCATACTTGTGCTCTGAAACAAGAGAGGATCGAGTAAATCGTAGGACAGAGAACGCCAGTTAGCAAACCTATGCAAAGGACATGCTGTTTAGTACCAGGGAAGACTCCAGCAAAGCCATCGGCCTTCTCGATAAGCTCGTCAATGGGGAGGCCGGTGGTGTCATCGCTCCTCTCGCCGAGGAGGGTGGAGGACGGATACATGTTAGTGCCCATCCCAAGCCTGCGCCCAGTCTCTTTGGCAATGGCAAGCTGGTCGCCGGTGATCATCTTGACGTTAACACCAAGATTAAGGGCACGGCGGATGGTCTCGGCACTGTCATGCCTAGGAGGATCGAAGAGGGGCAAGAGACCCAGAAACTGCCATGGGCCACCAGCACTCTCCTTGCTTGCTTCAGGCACCTCCTGCCTCGCCACACCAAGAGCACGGAGGCCGCGGTCGGCAAACTTGGTAATCATGCCATGGACCTTCGTCCGAGCATCCCCTCGCATGTTGCAGAGCTCAATGATCTGATGAGAGGTAGCGAATTTATCATGGTGGGATTAAGGAATTCAGAATAAGTTCCAGCAGCCGAAACCGTAACTCCGTGTACCTGCTCAGGAGCACCCTTGCTTGAGCGGTGCCATTTGCCGTCTGATTCGATGTATGTGATTGCAGTGCGTTTTTCCACTGGATTAAAGGGCAGGAAGTGGATTTCCTGGATCCCAGCTCGTGCCTGTGAAAGGTCATGAACGTGAACAGATTAGATCATAGAAGAGAGAAGGATGCTATTAATTGCCTTCCTATCATTCTGCTTCACATCAACCATGTTTTACCTCCCTGGGGTCGGCCAGCATTCCGACAATGCAGGCATCAATCGCGTCCTGGTTCTCGACCCTGGAAGCCCTTGCTGCATACAAGACTATGGCATCCTTATCCAAATCCCTCACAAACACCTGCAGCAAACCAACAGGAAACGACGCTGATTCACAGTGGTTCACATTATGGAGTAGTTGACCCTACAGATATAGTCATCACCTCGATCAAGGTCTTGTCGACGGTGAGCTTGTTAAGGGTGAGGGTGCCAGTCTTGTCACTGCAAAGCACGTCCATGCCGGCCATCTCCTCGATGGCAGTCATCCTCTTGGTAATCGCTCCTTGTTCCGACAAGCGGTGGGATCCAATGGCCATTGTGACCGACAGCACAGTGGGCATGGCGATCGGAATTCCGCCAATGAGCAGCACCAGGAGGTTATCAATGCCATCTCTGTATCTCCGGTGCTGGATCGGGTACATGACGATGATCTCGATTAGCATGCCGACGACAATGGAGCAGATGCAGAAGTTTCCGATGGCGGTGAGCACTTTCTGGAAGTGACCCACGTTGTTGGTGCTGTCGACAAGGTGTGCAGCCTTTCCGAAGAAGGTGTGGACGCCGGTGGCGATGACGACGGCCTCGATCTCTCCTTGCTTGCACGTGGACCCTGAGAAGACCTCGTCGCCCGGGTGCCTGGTCACAGGGAGGGACTCGCCGGTGAGGGCGGCTTGGTCGATCTTGAGCGGGTCGCCCTCAAGGAGGCGGGCATCGGCAGGGATGATATCACCAAGCTTGATGCTGATAATGTCACCAGGAACAAGGATTGAAGCATCCTGCTCTGACCACTTGCCATCCCTCAGCACCTGCCATCGATCATCCGATTTAAGTCGACAAAAATTCACAATCTACGCAGGAAAAAGCACCAGAGGTCCATGGAACTGTAGCCGAAGACAACGCGGGCACCTTCGTCTTGGGGGCGAGGCCAGCCATGAGGGCAGCGGCGGCATTTCCGGCGTTGTTCTCCTCGATGAAGCTGATGGTAGAGTTGATGATAAGGAGAGAGACGATTCCGATGAAGTCCTGCCAGTCTGGTGGCTTACCCTGTTTGCATGGGTGCAGGCATGATCATTGCTGCTTGTGGAAAAGCTTCTCCTCTTGTTGGAGGAGCTACGACGACTGATCAATGGATGTACAGAAGAAATAAGCAGTTACCCCTCCGTTAGCCAAGGCAATGGCCATGATCGCAGCGATCTCCATGACCCACGAAAGCGGATTCCACATGAATCCTAAGAACTTGAGTAACTTGCTTTCCTGATTTTGATTCAGAAAACGATCACGAAACAAAAATGATTACGCAGAAAACACATCAAAAACACAAATAATGAGGACTATGGAAGTATATATGAACCTTCTTCTCCTCGAGCTTGTTGGGACCAAAGATCTGGAGCCGCTGCTCACCCTCGGCAGTGGTGAGCCCCTCGGTGCTACATTTCAGCTGCTGGAAGACCTCTTCCACCGGAATTTTCTCCTACGAGAAGTCAAAGAAAATAAAAGGAGAAGCAAAGACGGAAGACGATTAGTTCCACCGGATGAAGCAGCAGAAATGGGAAACAAAGAATTCAGCGTCCAAAAATATCTGACAAGATCGACGGCCTCGTTCCTGATGTCCTCCAGGGAGACGGACCTGCCGCCTCCACCGAAATCGGTGGCCATCTCTCCAATTCTTCTCTTTTAGCGAGAAGAAAGTGAGTCAGTTTCGGGGGTGCAACAAGGGAGAGAAGAACAGGATCTTCTTCTCTCCTCCCTCTTTCTCTCTCTCTCTCGTTCTCTACTTTCACTCTCTTGGATCTGATCTCTGTGTCACGGTTGGCTGTGTTTGGGTATCCTGTATGGATTTCTTCGTGCGAGGAGTAAGAGAAATAAAACTGCAACAAGCAATGCGTGCTTGACGGGAACTACGAAGGCCGACAGGCCACCAAATTTATAGGACAAGAAAGGAAGAGGGGGAGGGGTGGGGAGGGAGGGAGAGGCTATCGGTTAAAGGTAAGGCTCGGAGCCATATGCTCCCGCGCTGCGCGGTGAGTCGGGACACGTTTCGATCGGCCTGTGGAAGAAGCTGTTGTGGCGGGTCGAGCGGCGACGGGCGTTTATTGTTAGTTCGGCATCCGTGGAAACTATCTCAAGGGTGATAGCACCGCCGAGTTTTTCAGGGGTGATTCGGCCAACCAAGACCAGAACAAGGGAGATGAGTCATCCAATGTCTCAAATCGGACGGTGAATCAATGCATCGTGTAGTAAATAAAGGGTCTAAATTGCTCGTCAGCTTTCGGATGAAACAATAAAGAAAGGGTGAGCAAGCTATGGGTCCAACCTCTACATGATATGGTTCTGAGCGTGTGATTCAGACTTTGAGGCCAATGTCTGTAGAAAAATATCATTAACAGTTGGGAAATTAATGCCTGATTAAAACAACAGCAACAATTGCCCACAAAAATGAATAATAAAAAATAACTATTTAAATATAGATAAAATTAATTATATATTATTATCTTATATAATTAAAAAAATTTAATATCTCGATCCTTATATTTTTTAAAAAAATTATATTGAGTTTCATATAAGATAAATCATTTAATCTCGTTGCTTCAATAAAATATTTTTTCTCTCTTGATTTTTAATTTTATAAAATTAATTTCTTAATCCTTTTATAAGTATAAGAATCGTAATATAATTTTTAATAATATAATTACCGAAATAATAAAGATAACTAATTTCAAGCAGATGGAACAATAATAAACGAGATCACAATTGATGTAGAAGGGAATAATGCTCAAAGAAGAAAGCAACAAATGATGGCTTAAGTGTGTCATTTCGCTAATCTGTGTAACATTTCTAAATATAACAGCTGTGCAAAATAAGATTATCAATTTGACCAATCACAGGACACACTAAGCATTTTTATGAATCGACAAGCATGTCGCACAAACAAACTGTCAACACGTCAATGAGATTCAATGCTGCTGCAATTTATATTCACATAATTCAGCTAGGGACAAGAGATGATCAAGGGATTTACCAAAAGATGAATCTTATGACAATCTAACACAAGTACAGGGCATCATCAACATAAAGAGTAGTAACCTTACTAAGAACATCAGGACAAAGGCATGAGTAGTCTGCAAGGTCAATCATTGACTGCAAAAAAACACAGTTAAGTTTTTCTTCATGATCAAAGATTATTGAGGTGGAATACCCAAGCCACTTAGTCCATGTGTCTTGAAGAGAATGGTATCAGAAGGATAATAATCTAAACATGACTTGAGTGAAACAAAATCCAATAGTTCCCAGAGAAACTTCAGCAAAGAGATTTTTCAGAATTAAACACCAGTGGATCTAATGCAGAGCGCTATTCCAGAACTTGGATCATAACAAGCTCATGTAACATACAAGTTAATTACATATTAACTCTTATAATTAACTATAGCATCTAATTATATGGAGATTCCTATTCTTATCAAAGTAAAACATTTAATCTTATTACTTCTAGCGCCATCGACTCCAAAAATACCACATGTGCTCGGTGATAAACCAAAATGAGGTCGAATCAATATGTGTTCAATAATAAATCCTACGATATTTTCTTCAACAGAATCGACGACATGATAAGAAACACAATTAAATATTTTACTTATATATATATATATATATATATATATATATATATATATATATATATATATATATATATATCTTTTGAAATCATAAGAATCGATATGCTAAAGATAACTAATTATAGTTTCCTTTGATTTTGGTATTGGGCCTGGGTCTCTAAGTCTCCCGGACCACAAAAACCTATCTCTAGCAGTCACTTTAGTGCAGTCATTTAGGGTAAGTTTAATCGAAGTGAGGTCGAGTCAACACGTGTTCAATAATAAATCCTACGATATTTAATCAATGACATGATGAGAAATATGATTAAGTATTTTACTTTTGTATATATAAATCTGAATCTGATATTTGAAAACGTAGAAAATCGACATGCTAAGATAACTAATTACATGAGTAATATGTTTGATTGTGGGATCAGGGTTGTGGGCCTGGGTCTCTTAAGTCTCCTGGACTGACAAATCTATCTCTAGCAGTCACTTGAGTGCACAGATGATGCTAAATAGTGACACCACAGGGAAACCAACCTCAGCAAGAAATATAAATGGTCTTCAAAGATATGGTTCATCATATAATTAACACCACAGGGTTAAGCACATTTAGGGTAAGTTTAATCGAAAGCAATATGAAATCCTCAAAATAAAGACACGTCTTTAGGCATAATGAAAGTACAATGAAGTTGCATAACACAAACTATGGCTATACGGCCAAAATGAACCAAATTCTATTACGACCACTTCTCCTTCCACAACATTAGAGTGCAACAAAGAGAAACGATCGACAACTTGCAATTACTAAAAGCAAGGACGAGGAAAACAGAAAGCCATTGAACCCACCTAGGGCATTCTCAAAACCCTAGCTTCGTGCGGCGCCAATGCCTGCGCTTCGCGTTGTACCTGTAACACCATTAAAACAACCAACTTTGAACCGATCAAAGCCTCCAGGATGAGAGAAAAGGGGGAAAATTCAACGAAAGTCACCGCATCTGGTCGTATAGAAAAAGGAGTACCTAATTGTGTTGTCGGTCCTCATGCGGATCCAGTGAGGTATCGGCCTGTTCTGCCGCATCTTCTTCGCTAGCTTCTTCTTGATCCGAAACGTCTTGTGCGACGGCTAACCGTGGAGAAATAAGCGAACAGAAGCGAATCATCACAAAAGATCGAAACCCTAATAAACCCAGACAAGAGCTCGAGCAGAGGAGGAAGAGGAGAGAGATGTACCATTTCCGCGGTTGGTCCGGAACACAGCTGCGGCGGCGGCGACGACGAAAACCCTAAATGGTCGAGGAGAAACCGTTGAATTCGGCGGCCCGGTTCTCTTTTATAGTATTTCGCCATGTCGGTGGAATAAAGAGATGTAAGCCGGTTGGGTTGGACTTGGGCTCCACCATTGTTCACATCGAGCGGAGCCAAGCCAAAGTAAACCAAACCAAACCAAACCTGTCTCTGTTATAATGTGTGAATGGGATTTTTGCTACCTCACCGTTTAGGCTTTTACTTCCTCCTGTCACAGTTGCTAAAAGCCCATATAGTGAACACGCTTCGCAGAGAGACTCCCAAGCCCAGTAATGGATCTTTTGCGAGCTTCCTGCTGTTTCTATTGCAGCAAACGCTAAACTGCAATCCCTACTGGTGACGAAGGATTGTGCACAACGTTTCAGCATCGGTGACAGCGACTAATTACATCACGTCCTCATCATAAGCTGTCACGGCTTTCCTTCTTCAAAGGAGATCCCATAAAATGCGGGATCCATCAGTCTTCATAGACCAAGACCGAAGAAAGAAGAGGGCCATTCTCCTACTCAGCTTTTAGTCTTTAAACCGCGTTCTCAACTGGAACCAACGCTGCTGTGAATGTCTCGATCATTAGATTAGGCTTGCAAGTTGGAGTTTATTGCTCTGCACACTTTGTTCCCGTTCCATGAAGTCACAGATGCAACTAGCTGAGTTCTATGGTGTTTTCTTTTCCTCCTCTTCTGTGTCGTTTGGCATCGTGTAGAAGGCGGTGGCTGGGTAAGTCCGCCGCAAATTTCTCCGGTATTTTGATCCACTAAACTTGTTTGAAGCACCGGAGTTGGAAGCTACGAATAACATGTTGTTGCTGTCTGGGTGGATGCTGGATTTAGAGAATGGAATAGAAAACCTAATGGTAACTGTGATTCATGATGTTCTGTGTGGAACTAGTCAAATAAAGAGAAAAAGAAGACTAGTTTCCCTACTGTTCAAAAGAGTTCATTGTTATGAACTCTTCAATATAGATCAGTAATGGTTGAGCTTACAGAGTTGGTGTTGATAATTTGTATGCTCACTCACTCAAAAGGAAGCATTTATAGAAATTTTGTCAGAGGCCAAAGGTCAACTAAAAACTAAACTAACAAGTCTTTGCTATTAAGTAGCCATTTAAATGCTCCAGCATTCAATGAAGAATGGAGCCTTTAGGTCCCTATATGTTTCACTTTTCATGTCAGCTATTTATCTGAAACTTGATCATGAGTTATTTGATTTTAACTAATGATGAACTGCACCTGCTCTTTTGCTTTGAGGAACAATTCACACTGTATCTCCACTTCTGATTTCAGTCTGCATCAAGTCACACATCCAGTCTTTTTGTAGATGTCTGCAACACTTGAACAACATGAGTTAACGATGGAGACATGGAATTCACTTTGGAATAAATGGGTTTGCTTGCTCATTGGCAGCATTACCTGGTAATGACCTCCTAAATCTGAACAATTCAGAGGACAAACCTGGCCAACTATTCAGAAGATGCTGTTTGATCTCCTTTTCTCTTGGAACTTTTTTGTGGTTTTGTCAATCTTTATGAACTATCGAGTTTGATGTCTTTTGGTTTCTATCTGGATGGATTTTTATCTTGTGCTCTGGTGATTCCTGTACTTGAAAATTAACAGCCTCCAGCTATGTTGAGAAGGGACAACCAAGATATGGGCACACAGTATCCACCCACGATGAGATTGCTCTGCACCAAACAGCTCCTAGAAAACATTATTCTGAATGGTTCAATCCAAAAATAGTGCACATGAAGACCAACATCAGGTGGGTTCTGCATATCATCCCCATGAGGGGATGCATTTATGCAACCAAGCAGGTATGGGGAAGAAATCAATGCCTGTTGCAGGATTTCTATGACAACTGCTTTTGTTGCAGTCATTGTGCGATGTATGGATGATGATGGGTCAAAAATAGTTGCAGAATCACCACTCTTTTGCATCTATGCCTATATTTTGGGATCCCTTTTACTGAAAGTGAGTCTCTTCTCACATGGACAAGCAGATTCATGCACTCCATTTCTGCCAAAACCATCAACCCCATCATTAATACTTCCTCCCAGACCATGTGGCTTGTTCTCAGGTTTTCTGCTACCAGAGCAGCATGACACGGGAACAACACACACTCACAATCCACAAAGTTCCAAATCGAGTGGTCATCAGCTGCAACAATAACACTATCTGCCAAATGCAACATCTGGGGATGGTGCAATGCATTTGGTAGGGGGAAGAATTCTTATCCGCAGAGTTATCATAAATTCCAGCATCCAAGACTTCACATTTCCCAGGCAGATGATCCCAGAAAAAGTGACTGATGCAGTTAAAGATGATGCCTCGGGATGTTCGTGTGATACACTCGTAGCTGATTTGATATAGTCTCATCACTGTTGCAGCACATTGTAGGGATTATTCCAATGTTTTAAGCTTCAAATTGCCCCATGATTAGCTCAGTTGAAGACCAGTCCAACCCTTGGCGTGGTGCAAGCGCAAAACAAGGGGATCAGATTGACATATGTGTCCATGTTCGCGATGACAGTAACCCTGTGGGCCACACCCCCATTTGGATCACAGTTGGCTATGGAGGAGGGCCCCACCCCCTCAGAATCTAACTACATAAACCGACCCTCCAAGTCTCAGAATGCTCGCCTTCGTCACAGAGCTTTCTGCTCGCTGTCTCTTCCCCTGCATTGCCGCGGCAGAGAAACCAACAAGCCCTCTCTCATGGCCAGGCCTCAGAAGCGGTACCGCGGCGTCCGGCAGAGGCACTGGGGTTCCTGGGTCTCCGAAATCCGCCACCCTCTCCTGTAAGCGATTCACATCTCTTCCACGATCAACTTTCATGAGCGCTTAGTAGCGTCACTAACTTTCAGCGATGCTGCGTTCCTCCTCTAGGAAGACGAGGATATGGCTCGGCACGTTCGAGACGGCAGAGGACGCCGCCAGGGCGTACGATGAAGCAGCAAGGCTGATGTGCGGGGCGAGGGCGAGGACCAACTTTTCTTACGGTCCCAATGGCTCCTTGCCATCGAATTGTCGGTACTTGTCGGCAGCTCTCACCGCGAAGCTGCACCGCTTCAACTTGCTGTCGCTTCAAGCCACGCAGCCTGTCGTCAAGGACGCACCGGGAAAGCCAGCTCTGCTGGTTAATGGTGCTGCAGCTGATAACATGAGCTCGGTGTTTGTCGATGATATGACGAAGGCGAGGACCGAGTTTGCAGGAGGGAAGAAGGAAGAGACCAACTGGGTTGTGAAGGAGAACGGCCATGGGGAGGTGGAATTCAGTTATTTAGAGGAACGTCACATAGAACAGATGATTGAAGAGCTGCTGGACTCTAACCTATCTATGGAGCTCTGCTCTCTGTAGTCAGTTCTGCAACTTCCTGTTGTTTCCTTCTCCTACTGAGGTTTACACCATTCCGACTTCCCAAATCCCCTTCTGAGCATTAGATTAGCTGATCTAACATGTACATGTGCAATATATTTACATAATATATGTGCTCGTTCCATATAATTTTGCTTCAAGCTCCAGTTGGTGCAAATTTTCATTTAATGGTTGCTATGGGTATGTAAGAGAAACTTGTGGCATTGCAGATGGGTGTTAAGTGGACATCAGAGCTTGGCATAGAGGGGGAAGAGTATGACACTGAAACATTCAGCCTTCTTTAGTTTAGTTAATATAATAGAGAAAGGCATAAGGAGAAAGGAGATATGTATTGCCTTTAGACTAATATTTTAGCTGTGTCTCCTTATATGATCTCAATGTTTCTTTCACTCCTTTTCCACACAGCATAGAACTATTTTGTTTTAGAAGTTGGTGTGCTCAACTCAAGAGCATATCAATTACATATACAGACTCATAATATATCAGACATTTTAATTTACACATTATGTAGGAGAATATAGATGTTTCTGACTAAGTCTGCTGCTATGTATTATTTTGTCATTGATCTTTGTTGAGGGCAATTTTGTGGTCCAATTCACAGCTAGCTTGTAACCAAGATCTGAAAAGGCTGTTGTATTTTAAATGATTGGAAGAGCTTAGTGTGACAGTACTAAATCTTTGCAGTCATCATAGCATGTGCCTGCACACATATAAACATACATATATACATACATGCATCACAATCCTAGCAGTGCTAGCAGAGCTTGAAACTTGTGATAATGGATAGAGCACTGGATGTCATAATTCTACTGCCATCTGTTTTAATGTTTTGAAATCTATCTGGCCCAAGAACTGTTGCCTTGGAAAGCAATGGTAGGGAGTGTTAGGACTTTGATCCTTGACACAAGGATATTGTTTGACCCACCACCTGACTTCCATGATAAGCCATAAAAGCTTTATGTCTTTATCTTGGCATGCTGAAAAAAGCCTGCATTGATCTTTGAAGTTTGCCTGCAAAAGATTTGCTCATGAGCAATATTCTCATCCCAAGGCTTTTCATAGCACAAAGCCATCAATGAAGTCTATGGAAAAGGACTAGACATACATTAGCATTATCATCCCAAGGCTTTTACTGACAGCCCTGTTAAAGACTTGTTTCCCCTTGCAAAAGTTATTCCTCTTAAAGACCCTCGTAGGTTCATAGGATTACCCAGAGATATGCATGCAATATTTTTCAAGGCTCATGATATTGGGATCTCTTTCTTCTGCTCATTAATGATCAATTACAGTTTATGCCATGTCATTGTTTCTATCCTCTTTCTTTGACAATCTTGAATTCTAAGTGACTCTTTTGATGCGGTACAGTAAAGTTTCTAGTATTATTGATTGAATTTTACATTAATGCATGTGGTCTTTCTAGGTATCAACATTCTTGTGTGACATAACCTTCTTGAGTTGAATCTCCTCGATAAATTCTATTTCACACACATGATTCAGTGCAAGTGAAGGTCTCTATATGAACAAAACCAAAACTATCTGATGTTCCATGAACTTGAATAAATTTGGATGATCTAATCGAGTTTGTGTCTGTCGAACTCTAATTCGACCCAACAAGAATTCTAATAGGGATTCAATCTTACTCAAATCATGTTTCGATCAAAGTCAAATTCAGTTCGATTCGATGTTGACTCAACCTCCAATCCAAGAAGAATCAAGAAGAAGAGAACACAACATTAATCCCCCTTAAACTTGTAGCAGCACTGAGTCATACAAGAAGCAACCAACCATAGCTACTTCTTCTTCGATTCAGCCTCCGGCAGCAGCTCTGTTGCAGAGAGACAACAAGTAGCAACTTCCTCTTCAATTCAACCTGCAGTAGCAAACCTTAACAGCAACACAGGACAGCTTCTTCTTCCTCAATCAGGTGCCAACAACTTGTTCAACCCCAGCAATCGCAGCTTAAATCGAGCAACAGCAACAACCAATGCAACCTCAGAAAGGGATGTCGGCGGCCGTAGAAAAAAGGAAGAGAACGCTCGAGGCAATGGCAACTTTGCAAACTAGAAGAATTCAATGCTGGTACCTAAGAAGTCCGAGCTTCAATGCTCACAATATCCTTTCAATAGTTCCTTATTTAGGATGTCTTTATAAGTAGAATATCTTAATGTGATTGATTTCCTTTCCTATATATTATATGTCTATTATAACTTTCCTATGCCCTTTTTTTCTTATTTATATCGTGAATTCCTATATATTTTTTTCTATTTTATTGATGTTATGTAGTTGTAATAATTTCACAAATTCAATTCCTAATCCTATGAACTACTAGGATACTTGAACTCGACTCTCAACTCGACTTAAGCTATATTTATGCCTTAGTTTATTCCAATGTATCATAATATTGTTATGTTTAAGTATCTTCAAACCGTACGATTTGCCTGAAGGTGGCATATAAAGTTATTTAATGACTTAATAAAACTCAAGATGATTTTTATTTTTTTTGTTTGAAAATGGTAAATGATAAAGATGGGAATTCGAATTTAAGACCTTACGATATTCTATCAAGATCTTCATCAACTAAACCATTCAGTACCTTCGAGATATACTGTTATTTGTGTGTTATAATTATTTATTTAATTTAATAACGAAGGTTATTAGATGGAAGTCTCACTCGTTCTTAATCAATGAATAACTTATTCAATCAACTAGGACATAAAATATGACCATTAATCGTTTTAGTCCTATATGCCATCATATTTTGATAGAATATTAATAAAAAATATAAAATTTTAATACATCTTTATTTTATTTTTATTTATTTTCTGAGAAAAACATGAATTTATTTTTAAAATTTATCTTTATTTGTTAAAATTTTGGGTGTAATATTTTGTTAAAACTCAAATATATTTTTTTTTATAAAGAGTAAATGATGAAGGTGAGATTCGACCTTATAATATTTTGTTAATTAAAGGTATAACATACTATTACAATACGATAAATGTTCTTAGTTAAGTTACCCATACGATTTGCATACTGACCTGACGACATATAAAGTTATTGAACAACTTAATAAGATTCGAGTAGATTTATTTTTTTTTTTAAGATAAACAATGAAGATGATATTCGAGCTCAAGGCTTTTATCAACTGAACCAGTTGCTTTGTATTGGAATTACTATTTTATCAATTGGGACAAAAAAAAATGATCATTAATCTTTTTATTCCTATATGTCATCATATTTTTATAAAATATTTAATAAGAAATATAAAATTTTTAATACGTATTTTTTATTATTTTTATTTAATTTTTTAAAATATGAATTTATTATTTTTGAATTGATCTTTATTTATTAGAAGTTTGGGGGTAATCGTTGCACGTAGCAACCAGCGAAGCGCCTTTTGCTGAAATTTTAATATATCTTTCTTTTTATTTTTTTATTTATTTTTTATTAAGAAAAACATGAATTTATTTTAAAAATAATAATCTTTATTTGTTAAAATTTTGGGTGTAATCGTTGCATGTGGTTGGGTACATGACCCGAGAAACGCCTTTTATTACAGAAATACTCTCAAAACTAAGCTGCAGGCAATGTAGCAGCATACCATTGGCCCTATAAATGTCTATTTTCCTGATAATTTTGGTACGATGCTTTTTTACCCAACACTCTTTGCTCCCTTCTCTTAATTATTCTTTTTTTCCTTAATAAGTTTTTTTTTTCTTGGCTTTGTTGGTGTGGAACATCTTAAGCTAATGATTCGTGCATCCGAATTCATTATGATCTTTCTTAGTAATTTTAATCTCATATTATCTCGATAATTCTTTCGATCAATATGTTTTAATCGTGTTTGAGCAGGGAATTGGACGAGGAGATGCAGAATGCTGCTCGGGAATACTTGGAGAGACGGGTAAACGATGAACTTGCGGGCTTCTTGCATGATTACACGGTGAACAAGAACAGGACACGGCTGCTTCGGTTGGTGAATATATAGGACAATGTGATGGAATATAAAGCGGAATAATCTTTGAACAAATATTAGTAGGTCATGATATTCAGCGGAATTAAATAAAATTATAATCAAATAGAACACCAAGATATACATTGGAGGGTAAAAATCATGGGGCAAACTAGAGATAATCCACTATAAGAATAATGAATATACAAATCTCAATCTCTTGCCCTAAACCCTAGCAATAATCACAAGAGAATAACTGGAATACAAGGATCACGTTATTATCCACAATATCTAAAACCTCCCCAAGTAATCACAGCAAGAGTCGACTGTAGATTTGATCTAACCTGAGATGAGAACACTACTAGATGATTGAGATCGGTCTCTCTACGTTGTCCTTGTTTTCTTCTCTTTCTTTCTCTTGTTTTTCTACCTTTTTCTTCTCCTCCTTGCTACTGCCAAGATCACCACGTTGCTGCCCTTTTCTGCCCAAAAAATGTAGCCACCTTCGCGCTAAAACGCAGCCACCACACCCCTCTTATATTGATCTAGGGTTAGGTTAAGAGGGGGTGTGGGCTGTGTGGGCTAATAAAGCCCATATTGGGCTAAATATGGGCTATCAGCCTAACAACCTCCCCCTTCAGCCCATAAGGGAGGTCATCCCATGACTCAATGTGAAGTCATGCCGACCAGCTGCCGACATATCTCTTGTCTTTCTTTTAGTAAAGTCTTTGTCAACATGTCTGCTCCGTTATCATATGTATGAATTTTCTAAAGCTACAACTGCTTCTCTTCAAATACATTTCGATTCCAATGGTATCTGACATCTATATGCTTTGACTTGAAATGAAACATTGGGTTCTTACACAAATGGATGCCACTCTGGTTGTTACAATGCATCACATAATTTTTCTGTTTCAACCCCAATTCTTGTAAGAATTCTTTCATCCATAACATTTCTTTGCATACCTCTGTAGCAGTAATATATTCTGCTTCTATGGTGGAGAGAGCAATACACCTTTGCAACCTGGATTGCCATGACATAGCTCCCCTTGCAAAAGTAAGTACGTAACTTGAAGTAGACTTTCTTGTATCTATATCTCTTGCCATATCTACATCTGTGTAACCTGTCAACACATGTGATCCACCTCCAAAGCTTAAACAAATCTTAGAACTCCCTTTGAGATATCTAAAAATTCACTTCACTACTGCCTAGTGCTCTTTGCCTGGATTTGCAAGAAATCTGCTAGTAGCACCAACTACATATGCGATGTCTGGCCTCGTACATATCATTGTATATATTAAACTTCCAACTGATGAAGCATAAGGACCTTTTGCATTTTCTCCTTCTCCTCATCACTTGACAGACTCTGTTCTGAGCACAATTTGAAGTGACCTGCAAGAGAAGAACCAACTGGTTTTGCATTACTCATACTGAATCTTTCCAAT